CCATGTCAATTATAAACCTTTGTAAGGTCTTTTTTTTTTCAATGCTGGATTCTTAACATGCCCCGCCCCCTCAAGATCGTGGCTCTTTTGGCTCATCTATCTTGGTAAGAACCTATTTTTGGACCGAATGCTCGTTTGAGCTTTTGGGCTCTTACACCATGTCAATATATATTCATGGATTCCATCTCAAAATCAATTGACAATAATAAGAATGAACTCACTTATATTTTAAACCCTTGTTAGCTGATCCTTTATCTTTTCAGTATCGGATCCTTAACATGTCCCCTCAAGATAGTGCCTCTTTTGGGTTCACTAATCTTGGTCGGATCCAATTTTTTTTACTAGATGCTCGTTCGAGGTTTGCCTCTTATACCATATCAATATTCATGGGGTTTCATCTCAAAACCAATTGGCTATGAGAGAAGTAGCTCATGGATCTTTAATTGTTTCCTTTATCATTTCGTATTAGAGCTTTGGCTCTTAATAGATTATATCGTTTTTCTCTTTCCATTCTTTACCTTTCTTTTTTCTTCTTTTAATCATTACATCAAACTTCATTTCGTATATGTTCGAAACAAAAAAAAGTCATGTCACGTGAAGAATAGAAGAAGGTCAGAAGGTAAATGTCTTACCAAAGGACCATCTCGACGAGATCGACCTTTCATAATTAAACACAAACGTTGCAAGAATTCACTCCTACAACGAAGATATGACCCACGTTCGATCATAGGCACCCGACAAACCTGCTCTTCGAGGTGACATCGGTAACTGCCTGTTAGATGGCATGACGGATCCCCTACCTTATAAATAGAGAGCCTTACTAGTGCATCAGGTATCTCGTTCTACTCAAACTCCATTTTAAAGTCAAGCATAAACTGACTTGAGCATCGAATTGTTTGCCTCTCTTGTGTGGGTATTTCCTTGTTATGACGTTCAAGCTCTTCCCTCTGTAATACTTTGACCAGGTTTGACTTGAACCAATTTCATTGCACAAACAATGTCAC